TTTCTTTAAACTCTTAAATGCCAAATTAAGTCCCGTCTGTCAGTGAAAATATTCAAAAGAAAGTATAAAGTCAAGCATGAAGTGTAATGTTTTTCCTTCAGGCAACAAACTCACAACAACGTCTTGATACTAGAGCCACAAACTGCAACAACCATAATAATACTTGAGACAATTTTAGTTCAATTTTTATTTATTTATACATATATATATTAAATACATTAAAAAAAGTAAATAAAAATGCATTTGCATCAAATTAGATTTTCTGTATGATTTGGGTTTTTTATTGTTATTAAAATAATTAGTTTCTTTTTGTATCTGAGAGTTAGATCCCATATGGGAAATACCAAATTAATATTTTTTCTTGTTGATATTAATCTCTTATTCTGCATTGCCTGACCAGTATTTTCAATTTAATTATTTCTATTCTGTGTATCTTAAGATATATTGTTGGTCATATTAGAGATTTTTAAAAATCAGTTATCAATAGTATAAAGAAAATGTCTCTGATTTGACCTACTTTTAATTCCAGTGATTGCACTCTAGTACAAAAATGTTTTTGTTGTTCATATTGTTAGTTTGATGAAGACCTTCGACTGAATGTTTCTGACATGTTTCAAACTAATAAACAATGAAAGAAAGTGGGTTCAAACAGATAAGCCTGTGATTATGTAAAATCAATAAATTCAGTCTAATGATAATGTGAGGGCAGGAATGTTTGCTAATTAATGCATTTATTAACTTAATTGCTGCCCTAAGTTGCTAACTGCTAATGTTAATACCTGATAGTGCTTAAAAGAGACACTAGGCAATGTCTAATCTGTTGGTTGTTTCCAATTGCAGTTTGTACGTAACATTTCCCCAACAATTATGTAAAAGCGGCTCACTTAAAAGGCAGTAGCTGCTAAAGTAGCTACTACTGAGGACACAGAGGCCATGTCTTCCCTGCTTTTTCCAGGAATCTGGGGATTTAAGCTAATTTATGTTGCAGTTTAGAATAGAAAGTTACATATAATGGGATTTTTTTTTTAGAGCCTGAACTCCTAACCTCAGTGGTTTTAAAATGCTGGCTATGGCCTTGCTCACTAGGAACTAGGAAGGCAGCCTGACCTAGTATGGAATTCTTCATCCTATCCAGTCATTTCCAGTACAATTCCTGGCTTGGAAATCTGTTCAGGCCACAGAGGACACACAGCTGTACTTGCCGGATGTGACATAAATTGAAATGTTTCCAACATAAACAAATTGTTCTATGTGCATGAACTGAGAGAAAACATGTCAGTGGCACTGATCCATATTATTATTTGCATTTTGATGTGAAGTACAGCGGTCTAATAGTTGATTATAACTCATAAATATGATGCCAGTTGGGTCAGAGGAGCAAAAAATAATCTTTTATCTCACAATTTAATGGCAGTAACATGGAAAAACATATGTTTCTCTACTTTTCCTCTCACCTTTGTGTTCCTCCTTCCTCACCTTCTTTCTAACACCTCCCTGCTCCTCCACCCTATATATTTTATTTTGTTGTTGTTTTATCATTTTTTCCAACCATTTTCCTTCTGTCTTCCTACTCAGGAGGGTTCATCAGCTTCAATGGCTCGTGGCGTGTCCAGGGCATCTTGGCCATGTCCCGTTCTCTTGGCGATTACCCACTGAAGAACCTCAACGTGGTCATTCCTGATCCCGACATCCTGTCTTTTGACCTGGACAAGCTGCAGCCGGAGTTCATGATCCTGGCGTCGGACGGCTTGTGGGACACCTTCAGCAACGAGGAGGCAGTTCGCTTCATCAGGGAACGACTGGACGAGCCTCATTTTGGCGCCAAGAGCATAGTCCTCCAGTCCTTCTATCGTGGTTGCCCTGACAACATCACCGTCATGGTGGTCAAGTTTAAAGGCAAAGCCAGTGAGCAGTAGACCATCCGTCTACCACATACAATATCTATAATATGTTTGAATATAAGTAAGAAATAAATAGGCTTAAAATGAAAGATTTAAAAACCGAGCCCGCACGTTTTTAAGCGAGAACTATTTCTATCACAGATATTTACAGAAGTTAGCTCTTTAACGCATCAAACCACGCCCCCCTCTTCTACTTTTACTGCTGAAAAAGTGACACTTGTGAGAAAATGTCTTTCATTAAGGCTTCGCCATATCGTCAGACACCGTAATGGGAGCTGGGTCACTGTTATGCAAATAAACAGATTTAGCTCTGTGCAGCTGTCGGTACGCCCCTGTGTGTGCGTGTGTGTGCGTG